CCACTTTGTTCTGGATGATCTTTCAGTCATGTTGAAACAATAACCATGTGTGGGAGGTACCATAGCTCCTTAGGCTGAATCCAGTTGGTATTGGCCCAGTGTTACAAAGATAGATAATACCTCAGTAGTTTTATACAGAGGCAAATAGTTTCACATGATTAAAAAAAAAAAAATGAGTACCCACAGCTCAGTTCTTCAGTCATGATTCAAACCCATTTATTACATGCCTAACATCTGCTCAGGCCTCTCTGAGATGGTAGATGGGTTTGGGAGACAAGGAGACCAACGTGAACCTAAAGCTTGTACTGCTGCTGTGTTCTCAGTATTGTAATCCTTTCCCTCTGACGTGGGAAGACATGGGAGGACTGGGGATGTGGTCCAGTGGTAGAGCGCTTGCCTAGCATGTGTGAGGCCACGGATTTGGTCTCTGTCTCTTGAGGGGGCTGAGAGGAGTGAGAGGGAGGAGAAATTGGCTGTCTGGAAAGTAGGTGTAATTTTTAATACTGTTCAAATATGAGTTCATTTCAATTTGATGTAGTTCAGGTTTTTAAACTTAAAGCTTATTTTCTGGTAGGTTTTGGTTTCTCAGTGCATACTTTTGTGGGGTATCTAGACAACAGCATCAGTTTATGTCTATAGTCATACACAGAAGTATCATTCAGGAGCTATGTATTTAACAGTATCATGTTCTGCTTCCAGATGTTGGCACATATTTCCTATGTGAGGGCTCTTGCTGAACAGCTCACTTTATTTTCTGACCACCATTTTGTCTAGATCAGAATGGTTAGAGCTAAACGTTTAAATTCAGACTTTAATTTTTTGGAGAAATTGTTTCTAGTATTTTAGCATTTAATACTTATAATTGTTATCACATTATTAATTTAAGCACCTTGCTACTTTAATTCAGAAAGATTATCAAACCTACCTTTGACCAAAAGGAAATGATTTTTTAAAATCTTTTTTTCCTGTTTCCTACATTTTTATTTAAAAAAAAACTGAAAATAAGATTTAAAACCTAATTATTGTCAGAGAATATAGTTTGGTGGTAGATAGTTTCTTGCCTAGCATGAATGAGGCACTATAGTACACCCTTTTAATCCCAGCACTTGGGAGGCAGAGGCAGGCGTTCCAGGACAGCCAGAGCTACATACAGAGAAACCCTGTCTCAAAAAAACCACAGACACAAGTAAAAACAAACAACCCCTCTGAATTTCTTAGTTTTTTTATCTTTAAAATCAATTATAATGGCATGACACTATTACAGTATTTTAACAAAAAGTTTATATAAATTGAGCCACTTACTCAACTTTTACAATATATGTGACATAACAGACAGAAGGAAGAGGACGGAGATACTCGCCTAGCAAAACATTTAAAAATATGTTGTTTACTCATGCCATACATCTGTTGCAGTCTTTGCTGTTTGTTACCCAAAGTTTTAAATGGGGGTCTCATATAAACAGTCGTTTTTCTTTATAGTTGTGGGCTTTGAAATTAAATACCTGGGTGTTATGTTTATCAATGTATATTGCATAGAAATGGTTACATTAAATACCTTAATATTTAGAAAAACATTAAGAAACCAGTTTTTAAATGGCTGCTACACCTTCAACTTGCTAACTCAAGATTCATTCATACTTATAAAATTATACACTCTGTAGGTAAATAAGTTTTTTTTTTAAAAAGACTATAGTCCAACTTAATTTTTAAAAGTTTTAAAGCTTGTATTTTCAAACACCTGCTGTGATTGCTGCAACAACTATCCCATTGATATACTTAGTCAAAATAAGTTGTTTAAAGTTGTAACATGCAGCGTCCTTGCAAGATGACTTTTTTTAGAAACAAGGGTAATTACAAAGTCAACATTTTAAAAATAACAAATAGTAAATTTTAAGTAACAAATAATTACTTAGAGAATCACAGAAAGCAAAAGTATATGAAACAGGTGAAGTGTTTTTATGTCACTAGTACAGGGATCTGGGCAAGTGATCTCTTTAGTAGCTGAAGGACTTTAACTCAAGCATGACTTTTTACAGGGATACGATGTCTATGAAGCAAAAAAAAAAAGCTGTTGTTTCTACTCAGATACTTCTAGCTTGTTTGTAGTCAAGTGGTTTTTATGTAATCCTTTAATTTAAACATTCTTTCTCTGAAAAAGACCTTCTTTTTTTAAATTCAAACATTTTATTTATTTATTTATTTATTTATTTTTTGCTTTATAAATTATGCCATTCAAAATTTCCCCCTCCTCCCATATTCCTCCTACTCCCCCACTTTCTCTCCCCTCTCCCCCTCCAGCCCTAATGGAGGGTAGGGTACCCTGCCCTGTGGGAAGTCCAAGGTCCCCCGCTCTATCCAGTCCTAGGAAGGTGAGCATCCAAACAGACTAGGATCCCAAAAAGCCAGTACATGCAGTAGAATCAAATCCCAGTGCCCTTATCATTGGCTTCTCAGTCAGTCCTCATTGCCAGCCACATTCAGAGAGTCCGGTTTGATCACATGCTTGTTCAGTCCCAGTCCAGCTGGCCTAAAGACCTTTTTAAGATAATTTGGTCTCATGACATAATTTTTAAAATAGATGGAATTCTATAGTCGGCCCCTTTCCCCATTCTAAATCTTATATACATATGTACTTATAAATATATGCATATTTTCAGGATCATAAAATATTAATTTAGCCAGGCGGTGGTGGCGCACGCCTTTAATCCCAGCACTTGGGAGGCAGAGGCAGGTGGATCTCTGTGAGTTCGAGACCAGCCTGGTCTACAAGAGCTAGTTCCAGGACAGGCTCCAAAACCACAGAGAAACCCTGTCTCGAAACAAACAAACAAACAAAAAAAGAAGAAAAATATTAATTTAATGTTAACAAGCTTAAATAATTACTGAATGTTAATACAAGAATATATTTATAATGGGTCTTCATATCTCTAGTTCTCTAATAATGCCATGGAGATTTTTTATTAATTGTGAAAGCTTGGCCTTAGTTTAGGTTTGTTCCAAAGTAGCTCATAAAACTTAAATTAACTCATTTATATTAATCTACATTCTGCCACATTGTAAAGCACAGTGTCTGCTCTACGCTCTACCCTCTACAGTACTACACTGTAGTGCCCATGCCACTACAGGTTGGTACATGAGCCGAGAACTCGGCCTGGAGACTTAAAAACACATGCAGAGAGAGAGAGAGAGAGAGAGAGAGAGAGAGGGGGGGGGGGGAGGAGAGAGAGGGAGGGAGAGGGGTCATCCTTGATGCAAGAGTGCCAAGTTTATTGTGCTCCAGGGAAGCTTATATAGGGATCCTTAACTGATAGCCACGCCCCAGCTCTCCGAATATTTCAGCTGCAGGCCTCCTCAGAACCTACTCCCCTACCATCATTCAGAGTAGCTGCAGGCACAGGTGTTTTGCTCAGTTCACATCAGCAGGCAAAGGATCTGAGGCAGGCAAAGAAAGTCAAGGGGCCAGGGATCGTCAGCTCCCAACACCACATGACTCACTACCTTTCCTCAGAATGTCTATCTTCCTTCATGTTTGGCTGGTGAATCTTCCATGCCTCAGATTCTTTCCCAGAATCTCTCTCTGGAAGTCCTACTTATCTTCTCCTGCCTAGTATTGGCCATTCAGGTCTTTATTAAACCAATCAGAAGGTGTTCTATGCAGGCAAGGAGGGACAGAGACGCATCTTCACACAGTGTACAAAGAGATTAACCCCATATACACTAATATCTATATAATTTTATGTTTATAAAAATTCTTTATAGCAGCATTTATATTGCAAATGAAATGTGATTACGTGACATTGCACCTGGCCTCTGCAGTTCAGCCTAGTTCTAGGCTGAGAATATAGCTCTCTGGTAGATATTCTTGCCTAGCGTGCATGAGGCTGTGAGGTTCAATCCCTAGGACTGGCAAGGTAGGAAGGGGGGTGTTACAAAGAACAGTGTTTAACGATATGGTTTATTAAACTGAATTTCTCTAATTTTGAATAAATTTAGGAATCATAGGACAAATCCCTCCCAGGTAACACCCATAATTTTTAAATTCTGAATGTTTTTCCTATACCTAGCCATCATACCACTTAAAAATATGAAGGAAGTCAAAATGATTAACTTGAGGACCTTTTCTTTGAATAAAGAGAAAGTATGACACCGAAGATTGCCCTTCATGACAGAGTGTAGAACTTAGTATAATTTTGATAACTCATCAGCCTGATTATTTAGTTAATTGCAGCTTTTTGTTATAAATTCCGCTTCCATTGCAAGTAAACACGCTTTCTGGTTTATCTTTGGTAAAAATTCATTTCGCGTTTTTCAGAAAAGGAACTTAACCTATTTTTGCAACATTAAACTATTTTGTTCTTAATGGGCATTCAGGCTGATTTAGTTATATTATTTTCTACTCTATATTTGTTTAAAATAATGGTATGCTAGAGAGATGGCTTAGCAGTTAGAGTTCTTGTTCTTGCAAAGGACTTGGATCTGTACACAGTGTACATACATACTTGAAGGTAAAATTCTTGTGCACCTAAAATAAAAACACATAAATCTTTTTAAAAATTGTTGCATCTTATTATTACTGTTTGCCACTCTATTTAACATGGAAAATTTCACCCTACCACCAATTTTCTTTAATCCCCTTTGCCCTTCTTTATTTTCCTACTGATTTGTTCATAACTGATACAGCTTTTACTATCTTTACCCTTGCCCAAGGGAATACTGTAGCCCTAGCTTCTAGAACATTATCTGGAACAGTGGGTACTATTTGTTAAATTAAGAGATGGAGAAACAAGTATTTCCTGTGGTTTAGATACCGTGTTGTCTTTTGTAAGTTAGTTATATTCATGAGGAAATAGACTTCAGAGGGTTAATTTGTCTAGTATCATTCACTTTATAGAGAATATAGGTAGAGCTGAAATTAGAGACTGACTCATGTTGTGGCAGGTCGTAGACTCTTAATTTCAGTGGAGATTGTATGATTTATTAAATTCTTTCCCTTTAAACAGGAAGAAGAGAATTTATCCAAAGATTAAAACTTGAAGCAACCTTAAATGTGCATGATGGCTGTGTAAGTAATGGTTAATTCTTTTTTTTAATTTATTTATTTCTTTATTATTTAATTAAAGATTTCTGTCTCTTCCCCACCGCCGCCTCCCCTTTCCCTCCCCCAATCAAATCCCCCTCCCTCGTCAGCCCAAAGAGCAATCCAAACTGCCTAGGCTCCCACAAAACCAATGGGTGCAGTAGGATCAAAAACCCATTGCCATTGTTCTTGGGGTCTCAGTAGTCCTCATTGTCCGCTATGTTCAGCGAGACCGGTTTTAACCCAGGCTTTTTCAGACCCAGGCCAGCTGGCCTTGGTGAGTTCCCGATAGGACATCCCCATTGTCTCAGTGTGTGGGTGCCCCCCTCGCGGTCCTGAGTTCCTTGCTCGTTCTCTCTCTCCTTGTGCTCCTGATTTGGACCTTGAGATTTCAGTCCGGTGCTCCAATGTGGGTCTCTGTCTCTGTCTCCTTTCATCGCCTGATGAAGGTTAATATTCAGGAGGATGCCTATATGTTTTTCTTTGGGTTCTCCTTATTTAGCTTCTCTAAGAACCCGAATTATAGGCTCATTGTCCTTTATTTATGGCTAGAAGTAATGGTTAATTCTTAACTATAAATGGCTTTAGTATGTGTTTAAATGTCTGATGAAATGTCCTGATCCTCCTAGTATGGATTATAACTGACTTTTAAAAATAGGAAAATAGCAGGCAGTGGTGTTGCATGCCTATCCCAGCACTCGGGAGGCAGAGGCAGGCAGATCTGTGAATTTGAGGACAGCCTGGTCTACAAAGTGAGTTCTAGGACATCCAGGGATACACAAAGAAACTCTGTCTTGAAAAACAAGGAAAAAGGAGGAAATAAGTAAGGTATGGTCACACACAGTTCTAATCCTTGTTCCTAGGAAGCCAAGGCAGGTGAATCTCAAGAGTTCAAGGCCAGCCTGGCTCACGTAATGAGTTCTAGACCAGCCAGGGCTTTATGGTGAGATGGTGTCTCAGAAAAAAAAGAAGGAAAGGAAGAAAGTAGGGGATGTGGGGGAGCTTGTGGATGGGTAGTTTTTTTAATTAAAGCATTAAAGTGTGCTGGGTGCATATATGTACTCCTAGTACACATGAGAAGAAGGCCAGAGATTCAGGAATTCAAGGTCATCTTCAACTATGTAGTGTGTTCAGGGTTAGCCTGAGCTACATTGAGACCTTATCTCAAACACACACACACACATACACACACACGTATACGCATGCACACACACACACATACGCATGCACAGATACAAATAAAAAACATAAGGATATTTGAAAAAATATTTTTGAAAATTTCATACAGTATATTTTGAACATACTTCTGCCCTGAAAACTTGTTTTTGAATTTAGAAAAATGTTTGCAAGGTTTGGGTTTGTTGTGTCTGAAGCCCAGGTGAGTTTTTTCCTTATGAGGCATCCATTTCATTCACTTTACTGAAGTTGCTTTCATGAAAATTATTATGACTCTTCTCTCCAGAGCCCGTGCTTACTTTAGCTGTCATTAGAATTTCTCCTCACTGTTGAAATGCTTTTCTGCTAATACCGTATTCTCTTTATGTTCTTTCCACCTCATTGACTCACTTCTTTTGGGTCTTAGCTGACTGGTCTCCTTTTTAAAACAATGTTTTAAATTACTGTATGTGTTCCCCCACACCTGGGCATCTGTCTTATATTTTATGTCTTATAAAATAGAAGTCTCTCCCATGTTTCTGTGATGCTTACTTATTTTCATTTGGCTCTCTTTGAAGTGTTTAACAGAAAAGCTTTCCCTGACCACTAATTAGATAGCCTGCCATCTTTAATCAGTATCCTTATGCTAGTTTTTTCATTTTATTTATTATATAGCATTATAATTGTCTAAACATATGTATTCATAGTCATTATACTTGCCCCTCTGCCTTGGCACATTTGGACTGAGAAAACCTCTTCAAAGATTTTCTTTAGGAAGATACTAAATGAATAAATATTTAGGAATTCTTAGAACCCTTAGGAATTGTTCACTGAAGAGGGCTAAAGACTATGTTATATGCCAGGTTTTATACCCTTTAGGAGCCAAAGATCAAATCTTTTATCTTTCCCAAAGAAAGATTTCCAAATATTAGTTGCACATAGATTTGATATCATCTGTATTTTCCCATCTTTAACTTTCTTTTAGGTTTTGCTGTGTTCTCAGGCATTTTTTTAAAAAAATAAACTTTATCACAACTCAAAGCCTTTTTTTTCTTTGCCTTCACACCTGATTTATGATTTGGGTGTGCATAAAATTCTAAGTTGCACATTATTATGTTCATTTAGTAATTGTATAGGCTATTCATTCATGCATCCAAGCATCTAGTATAGTTGATAATAATGCCAGTTTGATCTGTTTTTATGCATTAACTTGTCCTAAAAGTTGACTGTACTTATTAAGATGATATTGGACACCTTCAGGGGACCATAAGCAACTGTACTTTGTTAAGTTTAAATATATGTATTTATTGAAATCATCAAATCAACTTATCAGTCATCTACTAAGATCAATTCATCCTCTCATTTCTCATTACCATAATTAACCCTAGTTAGTCTCACTCTCTTTTTTAAAAGGTTTATTTATTTAATGTGTGTACAGCGTTCTGCCTGCTTGCCAGAAGAGGGCACCAGATTTCATTATAGATGGTTGTGAGCCAAGATAAGATTTCTGGGAGTTGAACTCAGGACCTCTGGAAGAGCAGCCAGTGCTCTTAACCTCTGAGCCATCTCTCCAACCCCGTCAGTCTCTCTCTTTTTAATCACTGTAAATTCATTTATATTTTTAGGCTAATCTTCTGATAGTGGGTTATCAGTTTTAACTGTGGTGTCATTTGTATTTTCTAGAATTTTAGTAAATAGAATCATTTTGCCCTGTCCCTTAATGGCAGGGATCAAGCTCAAAGTCCCGTGTGTGCTGTCTCAGTGCTTTAACACTGAACGCTGTGTCTCTGGCCTTGCATTCTTTTTGATGCTTCTTTACTTAGAATTGCTTGGAATAATTATCTTGAGATTCATTCCATTTGAAGATGTCAGTGGTTATTTGTTATTGTGCTCATGATATGGGTGGGTGCACTGGTGGACATTATTTCTAACTAGAGACTACGGAATTACCATGAAGCATTTGTGTACGGTTTTTGTTTGTTTTTACTCTTTTTGGTAGGTACCTAGAAGTGGAATAAATGGAGTAAAAGTATAGGTGCATATTTGCTGTTGATTATTTATTTATTTATTTATTTATTTATTTATGGACAGATTCTTGATAGGTAGCGCTGGCTTGCCTAAATCTTGCTGTGTGACCTATAGTGATTTCTTCTTCCTTGGAGATCAGAGGCACTGAATCTCCCTAGAGCTGGGTCTTCTGGAAGAGTAGCAAATGCTTTTAATGCTAATCCTTCTTGCCAGCTATATTATTTTCTTGATGTAGATCCAAATTTTCTGACCTGTTATTTTCCCTTTCTCTTATAAAAAAATTCTTAATGTTTCTTGCAAGGTAGTTCTCTCAGAAACAAATATTCTCAAGTTTTGTTTGTTGGAGACTGTCTTTATTTAGTCTTTAATTTTGAAAGGGTGATTTTATGGAGTTCAGAATTCTTTGTGAATGTTTTATTTTCTCTCAGCACTTTATATCATTCTACACTGATTGTTTACATACTTCCTGAGAAGTCAGGTGACATTTTTATCTTAACCTCTATGGATGATGTACCTCTTCTGGATTCTTTCAGGATTGTTTTCTTTATCTTTGATTTTCTTTAGTTTGAAAAATATTCAGTTATTTTGATGTAAGAAACACAGTTCTCACCTCAAAGAGAGAGTTTATTTTGGAGCCAGATATGAATGATGGTGGGTGGCCCTAAATTTCATGTTCAACACAGTAACTGTTTCTGAAAATTTTTATAGTAACAGAATAAAGATATTTGTAAGTCAAGATACTTTTAAAAAAATACAATAACGGAAGTATTAGGTAGGTAGGCTCAGCAAAGTGGGGGAAAGCTCTCTCTCAGGTGTTACCTGAGAAGTCTTAGCTTTTGCGTTGACAAAAGCTAATGGTCTGCTAAGTTTACACATTTCAAGAGGGTTCACCTGACAATCATAGGATGCTAGGTCAGACACAGGTGGCCAAGGAATGGCTATAAAGTGAGCTAAAGCTAGCCCAAGATAAATTGCAATCAGACTTGGGACCTGGAGCATTCCAGCCTCTTCTCATCACTTAATTCTGATCAGTTAACCAGCCTTGTGTGGCCTCTTTTAAGGACTTGTTCTCAGTTTCCTCCTTCTATATATCATTAAGGTCAGAGATTCTTTCCCCAACTATGTCCAGTATGCTATGTCCATTATGCTAACTAGCCTATCAGAGTCATTCTTCATTTCTTTTAACTTCCGTTGATCTCTAGTATTACTTTACTGTTCTTTTTTAAGAATTCCCTGTCTGCTTTAGATCACCCATTCTTGTGTATTCTCTACTTTATTAACGTCTTCAGCATATTGTAATTCAAGTTTTCCTTCCCACACATGGTTTTCTGCAGAGGTTTCTCTGCTCAAGTCAGGAATGCCTGGTGTCTTTGGTCATGGGCAATAGTTTTTGTGGATTATCTAAGAACAGTGGTTGATTTTTACAGTTTCTTGCCCTTGTAGGATATAGCCGTGGTGTCCAGGACTCTTGTGTGTGAATCAAGAACTGAAGTCCAGTGATTTAGTCTGTAAACTTTGCTTCATAGACAGTTTTATTAGTGCTGTAAATTTTGTAACACAGGTAAGTGAAAGGTGGTTTACTTCTTTTTATATCTAGTTTGCTTATGTTTCTTTTTTTGTTTTCTTTTTAGGTTAATACAATCTGTTGGAATGACACTGGAGAATATATTTTATCTGGATCTGATGACACCAAACTTGTAATTAGTAATCCATACAGCAGAAAGGTGACGTGGTTAAATATGTGTAATTTAATGATAAAAAAGAAGCTAGGAATGTGGATATTCTAACCACAGGATAGGCATTTGTTAAATTATTAAGGTTAATTGTGTAATTTAGACATTGTTACATGTAGGTACTGCAGTTTTCTTTGGAATATGTAAGATTTTTCTGTTTTTGTTTTTTGTTGTTGTTGTTGTTGGTGGTGGTGTGTGTGTGTGTGTGTGTGTGTGTGTGTGTATGTGTGTGTTTGAGACAGGGTGTTTCATTTAGCTCTGTCTGGCCTGGAATTCACTTTGTAGACCAGGGTGGCTTCAAATTCACAGAGATCCTCTCCCAGCTGAATGTTGGGATTAAAGGTATGTACCACTATGCCCTGCTGGAATATTTAAGTTTTCAATGTGCTTTAGACTCGAGAAAACTTAAAATATACTTCACTTTAATCCAAGTGGTTATTATAGGCAAATGATGTTTCAGTAATAGAACTTGAACAAAAGAAGTCATCATATTTTTTTCTTTTCATTAACATTAAGGTGTTTGAGTAGGAAAATTTTGTAGCATATTGGAAATAACTTTTTGCTGGCACAGACCTTTAATCCTGGCAGCCAGGAGGTAGAAGCAGAAGGATTTTAAGTTCATTACTAATCTGGGTTACAGTATCAACATTTCCTCTAGGGGCTGGAGAGATGGCTCAGCAGTTAAAAACACTGACAGCTCTTCCAGAGGTCAATTCCCAGCAACCACGTGGTGGCTCACAGCCGTCTATAATGGGATCGGATGCTCTCTTTCAGCATGCAGGTGTACATGCAGACAGAGCACCATATACATCAAATAAATAAATCTTAAAAAAAGACTGCCTCTAAACCAGCAATAACTCTGCTTCCTGTGGGATCACATAATATTTCAGTTTTTACTATTTGTGAAACTCTCCAAATTACAAATTTTTTTCATGTTTCAGAGCACTTCAAAGGGCAAATATTCACAACAGAATTAATAGCATACATTATTTAAATTGGATTACAGAGTTGGGGTCTGAATCTCTTAGGAAAGCCTTGTTTAAACATATATCATAACATTCTGTATTTCACAACTTAGGAACATCGCAAGTATTTTAATTTTAAATATTTAGAAGAAATATCAGAAATATTAAAGGAATTTTTAAATTAAATTTTTGTAGATGATAATGATAGTACTCTAATATATTTAGTTACACCATTAATTTTATATTAAAAGATAAAGCTTAATTTTTTTCAGATTATTTTGTTTTATGTATATTAGTGTTTGGCCTGTCTCTGTGTATGTATATGTATGTGCTTCTATTGCATACTTGGTGTCCATAGAGGTTAGAAGGTGTTGGATTCCCTGGAACTGGAGTTAAAGATGGTTGTGAACTGCCAGGTGGGTTCTGGGAACTGAGCATGGGTACCACAAGAAGTGTTCTTAACTTCTGAGCCATCTCTCTAGCCCCCAGGATAAAACTTTTTAGAACAATAGTTTTTTTTTTTTTTTATTTTGTTTTGTTGCTTTGTATTGTTTTTAGGTAGAATCTCACTGTATAGCGCTAACTGCCCTGTAAATTGCTATGTAGACAAGGCTGGTTTAGAACTCAAAGAGCTCTACCTACCTCTTCTTCCCCCATGTGGAGATAAAAGGTGTGCCCCACCACTCTCAGCTAAAGGTAAGTTTATCAGCCTGGTGGTGGTAGTGCACACCTTTAATCCTAGTACTAGGGAGGCAGAGACAAGCAGAGCTCTGTGAGTCCTAGGCCAGCCTAGTCTACAGAGTGAGTTCCCGGACAGCTAGGGATACACAGAGAAACCCTGTCTTGAAAATCAAACAAAAAATAAAAGTAACTTTATCATATAGTCCTCATGAATATAAATACTACCAGTTTCTTCCTTTTGACTCCTAAAATATTATGAACTTGTAAGTTATGTTATATTTTTTTCTTCCTTTTCCATTTGTGTGTGTGTGTAGTATTGGTGTGCATATTTGTATATACATGTTTTTCTATGTATATAGGTGCACATGTGTGTGGGCATACATATGTATATGTAGGGGTCCAATGTTGGTGTTAGGAAGAACCATCTTCGATGGCTCCTTTTTACATCGGGGCAGGATCTCTCAGTCAAACCATAGCAGAGGTTATGGCTAGCTTGCTAGCCTGCTTGTTCTGTGGTTCCCTGGCTCTGCCTTCCAAGGCTGAAATTACAGATGGGCAGTTTGCACACTTGGCATTCACATGGTTTCTGGGGAATCCAAGTTCTGGTCCTCAGACTTCTGTGATTTTAACCCTGAGACATTGCTGTAGCCTTATGTTCTATTGTCTTTAATCTTTCTTTGTTTTCAAAAATCCTTTTATGTATATGGATGCTTTGCATACATATATATGTTTGTACCACGTATATTCCTGGTGCTTCCAAGGCCAAAAAAAAAAAAAAAAAAAATAGCCTTGGATCCCCTGGAACTTCGAGTTAAAGAGTTATGGGTGTAGGGAATTGAACTCAAATTTCTGGAAGAGCAATAAGTGTTTTTAAATCTCTGAGCCATTTCTCCAGCCCCCATTCCTTTTTAAAAATATTTATTTTTATTTTATGTGTATTAGTGTTTTACCTGCATGTATATATGTGCGCTATGTGCATGCTAGGTGTGTGAGGAGGTCAGAGAGAGCACCAGATACCTTGGAACTGTAGTTACTGCTGGTTGTTAGCTGCCATCTGGGTGCTGGGAACCAAACCTGAGTCCTCTGCAGGAGTAGCAAGCACCTTCACCCCTCCCTTTTATTTCTTAAGGACCTTGCCCTACCTTTGAAACACTGTGCAGCCCAGACTATTCCCAAATTCAAATAATCCTCCTGCTTCAGTATGCCAGCTGACTGAACTAAAGGTGTGGTCTATTCTACTTGACTCCAGCCCTTGCTTTCTGCGTCTATCACTAACAAAATGATTAAGATGATTAACTTTAAAGGAGCAAGGGTTTATTTCAGCCTGTGGCTTTGGAGGTTTCAGCTCATGGCTCATTGGCTCTGTTGCTTTGGGTTTATGATTGGGTAGCATATCACAGTAGGATTTTGTGATAGTCTAGCCACTGGCCTCATTGGCAGCAAGTAAAGAGGAAGAGAATCAACACTAGGATCCTACAATGCCTTTTCAGTTGTATACTCCTGTGATCTCCCGGATCTTCTACTTCCTCCTAAGTATTTCTACCCTGGGGACCAGTCCTTTAAATAAATGGGCTTTTAATACCCCCCAGAGCCAGTATGCTCAAGATCTAGACTGTAGTGATTTTTTTTTCTGCCACTAATTTTTTTGTCCTTAAAACCTTTAAAGCATTTCCATCCATTTGCATGCAAAATTCGAGAAGTCATTGTTTTTTTACCGCTGAGTAGTATTCTAATGTGTATATATTCCACACTTTCTTCATCCATTCTTCCATTGAAGGACATCTAGGTTGTTTCCAGGTTCTGGCTATTACAAATAATGCTGCTATGAACATAGTTGAACAAATGCCCCTGTCATATGATCGGGCATCTCTTGGGTATATTCCCAAGAGTGGCATTGCTGGGTCCAGGGGTAGGTTGATCCCGAATTTCCTGAGAAACCGCCACACTGCTT